TTCTATGCACACCTCGAGGCATGTCTAAAATCACACAGTTTTGTCACTGCTCTCTGTTCTCCAGTGAGCTCTATTGCTTAGTGGTGGAGAACAGACTATGGACTCACTGCTTGAGTTCAGATCACATTAATTAAGCTCCCTGAGCTTTGGTTTCTCTATTTATAAAATTTTAGAATGACAATACCTATCTTTCATAGAGAATGTTAGAATTAAATTAGGTAACACATATGTAGCACTTAGCTTAATGCCTAAATCAAAACCTAAAACTAAACTAATTCATGCTAGTTACTTATAGAATTCCTTTCCCAAGTCTAACATTTCTGTATTTATATTTCAATATCCATTCTCAAGAGAGAAATGGATAAGGAACCAGCAGGTATCTCTGAACACAAACCAGATTGTTTTCATATAAATTAGAGAGCTTATTTTAGTTCTTTCTGCTGGAATTAGTTTCTGTAAGTCTTATTCTCATGAGTAACTAACTGCATGATTTCATAGGTCCTTAGACTTTAGTGCATATAAGCTCCTCCTTTCACAGGCAGAACTTGCACAAATCAGTTCCAAGCAGAGTTGGGACAAGATCAGCTCTCCTCACTTCAGCGCTTACTTGTTTCACCCCACGATTGAGCTTCTTCCCTTAAGAGAATCTTACCGAGTCTGTGACTTTGAGATAGTAAAAATACATCTATTTAAAATTATTTTTAAAAAACAATGCAAGAACAAAGCAAAAACACACATAAAAACACACCTTTTTTGCTATATTCAGTATACTATTTTTTGGTTGTAAGTTTTTAAGTTAAAATCACCTGAGAAAGTCACTTTGATGAATGTTCTCCTTGTTTATCACCATGTTCCCAAAATTCTCTTGAAAATAATAAAGAGAAAAAACTGAATTATGATTTAGACTGATCAGGAATGTTAAAAAGATCACTAATTTATAATATTTGAGTAATACTTTCCTTCTCTAGGTTTTTCTGTGTAGTAAAATCATAAGATCTAAGATTTCTACAGTAGTTCATATTTGACAAGTCATGCATGCATAATTATCTCTAATTCTGCCAAGAAATCTATTAGTTTGGTGTCTAGTCTTATCTAAACTCTATAAAGATAGATATTTTGATCTATTTGTTTCATAATACATCCCCAATACCTAGAACAATACCTGTCATATAGTATGAATTAATAAATATTTGTTGAATAGGTAAGTGATGATTTTTAATCTTTTTACATATGAAAAGACTTCTGAAGCTCATAGAGATCAAACAACCTGTTCAAGTCACATGGCTGGTAAATTGCAAAGCAGAGTCTAAAACTTAGGTCTCCAGAAGCATGAATTAATGCCAGATGTTTCTATACTGTTTAAGGATTGGCTGTGGGGTAGCTGTTGAGAAGGTAAAAGAAAAAAATAGGGTCTATGAGGATATTCTTGTCTGGTGGAGAAAACAGATGCATTCAGAGACAAATAATTTAAAACAGTGGGGTAAGAAAAGACGTATGCTTTCGTAATGCCTGTGCAGGAATTTGCCTTCCTGCAAAGGCATTATGAAATCCCAGTGTCTGAATATCTGAATTTTCTAATAGTAGGAGTCTGTGACATCTTCACAGAGCTTGTCTTTGGACTGGATTTTACAAAATGATTAGACTTAGCAGGTGAACAGAGTGGAGCTAGGGTTTGAAGGTGAGGTACTGATGACAGAAAATCCTGTGCAAAGATAACTGGAGATTTAAACAAACATTATCTATTCTGAAACAGAAATTACTTGTCACTGGGGCATCAGGTGTTTAGCTTCAGAAGTGAGAGATTTGACTGAAATATATATTGGCATCAGGGAAGGCCCTTTAGCATAAGCTGATGCATTTGCTCTGATTTTGCAGGCAGTGGAAGTTCACTGAAAGGGTTTCAAGCATGGCAGTGATAGCATCAAATTTGTAGATAGGTAGAGGATGGGTTGGAGTGGGCAGAGACAGAAACAGTGTAACTAATGATAGATCCAATGAGGAGAGCTCTGGAAAGAGATGATGACGGACTCAACTAGCCCTACTAGTCAGTGGAGTTGAAGAAAAGGAATGGTATAGGAAGAAAAACTTGTTGTTTAGTAACTAAGTTGTGTCCAACTCTTTTCAACCCCATGGACTATAGCCCACCAGGCTCCTCTGTCCATGGGATTTCCCAGGCAAGAATACTGGATTGGGTTGCCATTTCTTTCTCCATGGGATCTTCCCGACCCAGGGATTGAACCTGCATCTCCTGCATTGGCAGGTGAATTCTTTACAGCTGAGCCAACCTGGAAGCCCTAAGAAAAACTTAGAAAATTTAGCAACTAGATGGAAGTGGTGATGAGCAGGAAGAACCAAAGAAGACCTGTGGTGTCTAGATTCTGCATAGATGGAAATGTGACTTGCTGAGAGAAGGTAAAAATGAAGAGGAGCAGGTTTGTAAGTGAGATGATGAGATTGGGTTTAGACCAGCTGAATTTGATGTATTGGTGAAAACCTAAATAAGGTTTTTGTAGCAACCCATGAATTGTTACATTCTGTAGCTCAGGGAAAAGAATAGACATCTGTATTAGGAACACATAAGACTGTAAGTATTATTCCTAATGTGGAAGCTGGGAGGTGAAAAATCAGGGAGGCTCAACATTTGGAACCTTGGGTAGCAATGATGTTTAAGAGAAAGATGCATGAAAAGTCAAATAGAAGGAATAAGAAAGAAAGGTTTGTGGTAGGGAGAGAACAAGGAACAAGGAACAAGGTTGTGTCATGGAAACCTGGAGGTCAGGGTGAAATTCACAAGAATTAGAGGCTTCTCAAAGGGCCAGAGGAATTAAGAATATGGATATTTTTAGATCAGTGGTGACCAGAATGCAGTTCATATAGCTCTTAAGTTTACCCAGAGGGTAAGTGGAGGGATTGAGATGGTCTATTCACTGTCCTGAAAGCACATGCCCAGCATTTGTTACATGATTGACATGGTATGTAGGCATCATATACACAGGAGTAAACAAAGCAAAACTTCTGTCTTTATGAAGTTCCATCATTCTTGTCATTCTCTCTTCTAATCAAATCTCATCAAGCCCTTTAAGACCCAAAGTACAGCTTGCTTTTGCCAGAAACACTCCCCTAAGCATCCTTGCCCAGTGCCAGCTCCTTTCCTTAGACCCTTCACTGTGAGGGTTGACTGACATTTACCTAAACATTTTAGTTATCACTAGATATGCTCATGTCATCTTATACAATAAGGACTGCAATTTCTTTGAGGAGACTTCTAGACTTATAGTCTAGTTTTTTTCCTTCACAATTCCTCCCCCTACTTTCCTAAGCATACATTAAGTTCTTAGGTATAGTTCTTGAGGGTCTCTTCCCACTCCCCATCCTCTGCCATATTTATGGTATTTTCTTTTTTTTTGAATGGTATTTTCTTGGACAGAGGGAGGGCAATTAGATGTGTTCTCTTGAGCAAGGATTGCTGTATCTTTAATGAAGGTCCCTCAAGTTTGAGTTAACAGAGAGAACAAGTGCTATTTTATAATCTATCTATCTATCTATCTATCTATGGAATTCCCCAGGGAAGGAATAAAAGGAATTATTATTGTTCTGATTCTTTGCACTGCTATTGTTATAATTTATAACAATTTGTATTCAACTGGAGTCTAATCTGTACTTTGTAGATGAAGAGTGTTGCTCTTATTCTTTTCCTTGTCAGTTTTTTCCTTGTTTACATGAACAGTCATGGGAACTTGACAGTTGCAAAAGCATCCATGATAGGAAAAATGAAAACACAAAATAAACACCTTTAAGTTTTAACAGTTTGTTCTTGATTGTATGCAGATTCCTCCCCATTCACCTGATTGTAATATATCAATTTAAGGAGATTGGGCATTACAAAATGGCCCCTGATCACTTCTATACAGAAGTGGCCCTTAATCTGTCACTGGTTATAGACTATTTTGATTATCTTATAAAGTCAGAAGCACTGTCCCTAGAAAAATAGAAAGATTTACAGCTACACAAAATGTGAATATAAATTTAAAGGTGATGTGCACCTTTAAGACCCAGCCATGTAGCTCAGAGCATCCAATCAATGGTTAATTAATATTAGAATAACCTGAAAGGTTGTTAAAATGCAAACCTGCAGCTTTGCCCCAGGAAGGTGCAACATGGGATGAACGGGTGCGCGTTTTGTAAAGTTCTCCAGGAGATTCTTAAGCAGGTAAGTAATGTCTGTACTTTGTCAAACTCTGTTTAGGGTGTTGTAAAGAGAGAATTCGAGAGCAGAGTCTCAGAGAGGTTCGCACCTAGAAATTCAGGAAAACAAATTAGACCCTGGCGAGCTGAACTGGGAGAGGTTAATGTCAGGAGAATGAAGAACAGGGTGAAGTAGATAGAGAAACCAGAGCTATGTAAATCTGGGTAGGATGTATTAGGAGTTGGGCACAGGAGCTTGGAAGCAGGTTGAAAATCACGGGAAGATTCTGGGCTGTGGAATTTGCCAGCAAGGCAGTCTCTCAAGATCAAAGTAAACCCTCCCTCCTCAGAGAGGTTCTCTAGGTTGCCTTGGAGGAGAGATAGTTACTGTGTCGGCTAACCCTCCTAAATTACTCAAACTAGAAAATAAAGACAGAACTCCTCATGCCCCTTACTACTGAGCACATCCCTACCCACCACCTTCATCAGAGAATTACTGTGTCTGCATTGGGTGGGTCTTTTAACTTTACAGATTAGCTCTGTGAGTCCAACCGCAGATCACCCAGCAAGTAACACCTGTGTCAAGACCAGAACCTAGTTTTCTGCCTGGTGGTCTGGTGCTCTTCTTCTGCCCACTTGGTCTTGAAATAAAACATATTTTATGGATCCCCTTGTTTCATAAATTCCTTGGGATTGTTCTCACCCCCAAAGGGTTTAGGGAAGTCCATGCAGATGCAAATATATGTTAAGGTAGGCAACGTTTCAATTAAAACAGTACATTGGCATGCATGTAATTTTGTTTCTCATTCATTTTAATACAATGTGGTCATTACCAACAGCCAACTGGACAAAAGCAAGGTTTGCCTCAGTGCTTACGTGCTCCTCCTCAAGGAGCGGAGGATGAAGTCCACCGCATTCTCAATAATCTCCGAGCCCAAAAGGTTTAGGAATTTTGGGAACTCTGGCTCTGAATTATTGCCTGAGTCATGTGGCTGCTCATCTGGCTTGCCCTCTGGTTTGTCATCTGAAAAACAAAATGGAATCTCAGGATTGATTCTCAGCAAAAAGGTAAGGAAGCTTCTTTCATTGTAGGGAATCCTAGGGCCCTTTATACGCACCCCCCCAATTATACAACCTCATATAATTATATTTATGGCACATCTAATGCCTGCCTATTGTCTTCATGTGCATTATGCCATTTATTCCTAAAACAAGCAGACCCACAGATATTGATGCTTAAGTAGACACGGGTTCTCTTTCTGGATGAGAAAACCGAAGCTCACAGAAGTTGTTACTTGTTCAGAGTTAAAGCAGCTAGTAAACGCCAGTTCTGGGACTGAAATACAGGATGCTTGGTTTTAGTGTATTTTTCTCATGTAATCTCTGGACCTCTGGAAGTGATAATGAGGAGGATGATATAATAATAGGTAGCATTTGTTGAGCACATAGGACAGGAAATCCTGGGACAGGCAATCTATGTGCATTGTCTCATTTTATTCACCCAGCAACCCTATGGTGGAGGCAACATTATTATCCCAAGTTAAAGGTAAAGAAATGGAAGTTGAGAGAGGTCTAGAAGGGGACCAAAGTAACAGTGTTGAAGTTGTAGAATCAGAATTCAGCCCCATGTTTGTCTGGTATTAAAACCTGGGTTCTAAAGCACTATGTGTTGAGCTGCATAGTCTTGGACAAAAAAGGTATGAACTAACTACATGTGTGTTATAAGACTGAAAGTATTATGATGACAAAGAGGAATTCTGTCATTTGTATCCCAGCATGTGATAGTTCTGTAAATAATGATTTTGCATCTATATGTAATTTTAAGTTTGATCAGTCTTTTGGAGTGTGCAGATTTTAGCTCACTGGACTCAGAATCTGAGAACACTGGGTGACTTGCAGAAGATCTTACAAATAGCAGGAAAAGATGTGATTTTAACTGCGGGTCTCTTACTTTTTAAAAAACAGTTTTAATTGGAGGATAATTGTTTTACAATGTCTTGGTTTCTGCCATACAACAACCTAAATCAGTCATAAATATACATATATCCCCTCCCTCTTGAAAGTTCCTCCCATCCCCCACCCCATCCCACCTCTCTGGATGTCGCCACAGAGCACTGGGTTGAGCTCCTTGTGTTACATAGCCAGTTCCCATTAGCTATTTATTTTACATAAGGTAATGTATATGCTTCAATGTTACTCGATTTGCCCCAGTCTCTCCGTCCCCTGCTCTGTCCACAAGTCTGTTCTCTACCTCTGCATCTCTATTCCTGCTCTGCAAATAGGTTCATCAATACCATTTTTCTAGATTCCATATGTATGTGTTAATGTATGATATTTGTTTTTCTGTTTCTGACTTAGTTTACTGTGTACAACAGACTCTAGATCTCTTACTTTTGATATTTATTTAATCAAGTGCCTTTTGGAATGAGGCCAAAGATCCAGAAAGTGAAGTTGGTGACATGCAAGGTCCCTTGGTGGATTTGGCTTTGCTTAGTGGTCTAACAGATTCAGCAGATTAAAAGCAATGCCGAGAGGCATTTAGAAGGTACGAATGGCCTCCCCTTTGGACCCTGGTGTCAGGATGAAGTAGAACCCTTTATCTTTTGATTTAACTGTAGCCTCACAAGTAGTGCTAGCAGATTTGGTAAACAAAAACACAGATGCCCACTTAAAACTGAATGTCAGATAAACAACAATATGTTTTTAGTATAAGAATAACCTGTGAAATATTTAGAACATACCTAACCTAAAATAGAAAATTGTTATTTATTGAAAATTCAACTTTAACTGGGTGCCTATGTTTTATCTGTCAAACTTACCACAAATTTTGACTCAAGAAGTTCCATCCTCTAGACAATATACCCCATGACTCTGAATAAGGAGATGTAACTAACTTTTGGTGTGGAGGCTATCAATTAATGAGAAGAGTTGCATTTATATCATATCCTAAAATAGAGACTAGTAAAAAATATGGCTTTCAATTCTTCAAACATTTATTTTTTCTTTGCCACAAAAAAAGATTCAATAGTTTGAGACCTAAAGACAAGATCAATATACTAACCACCAAGTATTTATTCAGCTGTTGGTTTTTACATTCAATATGTGTTATTGAGCCTACTATTATGTACATAGCATATGCTGCTAAAAGTTAAGGCAAAAATGGATGTATATGGACATGATCCTTACATAAAGGGCAGGGCAACCACGGAGACCAGAATTGCTTTGTTTTCATTACAGGAAGGGGAAGGAAAGAGAAGGCGTATTTGTGATGTGTAGGTACTAGGATGTACATTCATCACTTTCCTGATCTTTATTCAATTTAGTGATAGGATTACAGTTTTATAGGAGAGAAGACAGATGCTCAGAGAAAATAAATGACTCACCTAAAGTCACAGATCTAGAAAGTGGATGAACTAGGGTTTGAATCTAATTTCCCCCCACCCCCCAAATTTCACAGAATGTGTTTCTTACATGAAATCCTGCCTTCAAGCAGTTGTTCTCTGGAGACATTTACCAGCTGCAAACTGAAATTCCTTCCATGAAGAGTGAGTTCTTTTCTCTGGTTCCTACCTGCCTACTTGCATAACAATTTAATTTTATTATTTTTGTTGTAACTTTTTATTTTAACATGATGCTAAGTTTTCAAAATACAAGGAGCCCTGGCTTAGAGTGTGTGTGAAGATCAAATCCTTGGCTCTGCTCTTGGATTATATATATAAGAGGTATTACAGTGTGGTGGGTGATGTTTTGAAGTCCTGTATACCTGAGTTTGATTCTTGTCTTCAGCAAAAAATTCACCAGGTAACCAATATTTAACTACGCTGCCTCTGTTTCTTCATTGTGTTCTTGTCAAGATGGAAGGATACTTGATATATCTTTGTATATCATATATATAGTGTGTATGTTACTGGAGTGGGTAGCCATTCCCTTCTCTAGGGGATCTTCCCAACCCAGGGATCAAAGTGGGTCACTGGCATTGCAGGCAGATTCTTTACCATCTGAGCCACTAGGGAAGCCCAAATAGAAGCTACCCCATTTTATATTTTAAAAAGGGAAATGATAAAACTGTGCATGTTTAATTAAAAGGATTATGAGAATCAAATGAGATAATATGTAACAATAATGGTTAATGTTGGTGTTTATTATGGAACAGAATGTTTTATCTTTAATTTTCATGATAGCTAAATGAGAAAGTTAACTACTGATACTCCCTTTTAAGTGTGAGGCCCATAGAGGTTAAATAGTGTTCCTGAGTCACATTTCTGATTAGTGGTGGAGCCAGGCCCAGGAGTCTTATTCTAGACTCTTCACTTTTGAATATTATTAGTTACAGTCATTAAAAAAAAATGCCCCCAGCTTTCAAGGAATTTATAGTATAATAGTGTCACTATATCATGTGAGGATATAAGAAAAAAAAATCATTCTAGACTTCATACATTCACTGAAGATAGAGGCTGTAACTGAAGCACATTTGAATAAAAATCCTACTTGCTTTTTATTAAATCTGCCTCTGTCTCCCAGGCCAGTGCTCTTTCTGCTGTGCCCTAAGTTCCCCTCATTCCTCTGCATGTTCCAGATCAGTGCCACTGACTGCCTCCAGTCATGGCTAACTACTGCACAAGGCATGAGCTGAGACTTAAAGTACTTACCAGCCTGGCAAGTCAGGATTAAGACAAGCAGTCCCCAGACAATTGTCAGCCGAAGCACTGAGACAGCCATGTTTGTAGCAGTGGGTATCAGGGCAGATAAATTGTTCAGATGCACCCGAAGTCTTGCTCCATTTATAGGGCATTTATAGCTGACATCATCTGTTATGGTATTTAGGTTGTTGCATAAGATATCAATACAGCTTGCTTTTGAATCTACACATGGGCCCTGCCCTATCTTTCAAACCAAGAGTTTTACAGATAGGAAAAGAAAAACCCTCTTGGTATTTTTAATGTGTGTTTTATAAATGACACTGCAATCATTCTTTTGCAGTTGTTTCCATGCCAGGGTTGACAATTAGGTGAGGATCAGGCAGACTAGCTTTTCAGTGCCAAAGAACAAGCAACAAACCAGTCAGTAAGGTGTGCCTACCCGCCTCCCTGTATGCTCTGCTCCCTTCCTTGCTCTGAGCTGCTGACTTGTCCCCACCTGGGCTTGCCCATTCACACCCACATGCTGTGCTCATGACCTTTGTTTTTCCTGCATATGTTATCATCCCTATTATCTCCCCTTGCTGCGTCCCCACTTATTCCTCAAGCTCAGGTTCAAATGCCCCCTCTGCAGAACCTCCATCATGGCCATTGCATCCCACTCCAGATAGTTGCTCCATCACTTGCCATATATCCTTCTTGACCAGTTATTTGGGAACTAAGTATTTTAATAGTTCTCTTCTCCTTTAACCTATAGATCTTTTAAAGGTATGTACTTTATTCACTTTTGATTCCTCAAGGACCCTAGCATAGTACTTGGCATTAGTCTAGGCTTTGACTTCACTTCCCTGGGAACATTGTTCTGGTTCTCTGGGGAAGGGCTAAGTGTTCTTTTTATGTACCTAATAGGCACCTGCTTAAATATCTCCACAAATTGGCTATAGGATCCTTGAGGACAAGTTTATCTTTTTCAGAATTTATATATATATATATATGTATATATGTATATTACTCAAGGCCTATGGCAGACATTAAAAAAGAGAAAAAAATTAAATTACAGCACTCACTGAAAGGTAATACTGGGTTTGACATGCTGTTATGTAAAATATCCTTCCTTTTGGATACAGACATTCAAGAAGATACAATTTGGTTCGAGTCTAGGTGATACTGCTTATCCTGAGGAATGATGTAATAAAACAGTTACCTGGAATAAGGATTTAGGGATGGTCCCTAAACTTACATATTGACCAAAACTTGTACATTGTGAATGTCAGAGGATCATTTTAATAAATGGTGAAATTAACCAAGCTGCAGAAATAAGCATTTCTGGTGTCACAGGGCCTAGGCTAGGTCCTTGTACTCTCAGTTTAGTGCTTGAAAGCCATCAAGAAGCTCTGCTTGGATGTTTTCAGGCCTCTCCACCTATCCTCTGGTTTGGTCTCTCCTATAGAGAGGGTTGTGATCTGGAGATTGTGCTCATAGTAGGGAGATTTCAGCAAGTTAAATTTATGCCACCAGGGTCACTGCTTAGAACTGAGCATTGCACTCTCCAAGAGCCTAGTGGGGAAATAACATTCATGTTAGCCCTGCCATGGACCCTGACATGTGCCTATATTTGCAGGCTAACAATTCCTTTTACTTTGCACAGCTTCAAGTCCTCAGGGATTAATCAGCCAAGAGAGTGGTGTGTTTTTCTAATTCACCACAAGAATGCTGTTCAGGCAAGCAAAAGCTCTGGGTATTACAACATAGGACCTGCTGGCTTATCAAGGATATATCAGCTAAATGGGGCATGGAGACAAGTCTGCATACTCCATGTAATGGCTCATTTAATCAAGAATGAATGGCTTTCAGTAGTCGGGTGTCAAAGAAATAGCACCATCCTTGGGATCAGAATGGTGCTTCTTCTCTCTTATTATTATTATTTTTTAAAAACTCATTTCTGCTGGAGTATAGTTGATTTAGTCTTGTGTTAGTTTCTACTGTATAGCAAAGAGAATCAATTATACGCATACATATCCACTCTTTTTTAGATTCTCTTACCACTGTGTGGCTGGAGCAACTGTGAGGATATAAGTCTGTCCAAGGGCAAAGACGCCTCAGCAAGATGGTAGGCACTGGAGTGGTTGCTGCGTGGTGCTGGAGCGGCTATGAGGAGATACCCCACATCCAAGGGCAAAGGAGAAGCCCCAGCAAGAAGGTAGGAGGGGCAAAATAGCATTTAGAATCAAACACATGCCTGCCAGAGATGCTCAGAGGGCTCAAACAAACCTTGTGTGCACCAGGACCCAGAGACCCTGTGGAGACTGAGACAGAGCTGTGTTTGAGTATCTCCTATGGAAGTAGAGGTTGGCAGTGGACTGTAGCAGAGGCAGGGGCTCTGGGTGCAGCAGACCTAGGTATGGCACAAGCCCTCTTAGAGGAGGTGGCCATTAACCCCACCATAGAGCTGCCAGAACTTACACAGGACTGGGGAAACAGACTCTCGGAGGACACAAACATAACCTTGTACACACCAGGACCCAGGAGAAAGGATCAGTGACCCCACAAGACACTGACCCAGACTTGCCTGGGAGTGTCCAGGAGTCTCCGGTGGAGGCGTGGGTTGGTGGTGGCCTGCTGCAGGGTTGTGAAAGGTTGTTGCTGAACAATGAAAGATGCCGGGATTCTTGGCTTCTGGAGGAGAAGAATTCAATCTGGGGCCAGAGATGAGACTTGATCACTCAGAGCTTTTGTGTAATAGAGTTTTATTAAAGTATAAAAGGACTAGAGAAGGCTTCTGACATAGACATCAGAGGGGGCAGAAAGAGTACCCCCTTGCTAGTGTTAACAATGGAGTTATATACCTTTTAATTAGTTATTACAATGAATCAAAAACATGTCTCAAGTTTGTGAAAATTTTACCACACCCACTCCACAATTTACATTTTAGGATAACAAGATTAGAGTTTGTTATCCCACACTCCCATAACATGCATTCTAAGATATCAGGATTAGTCATAAGGTTTTCAGGAAGGAGAAACTGTCCTCTAGCAGGATACAGTGTTCTTGTATAATCCCTAGTACAGAGTTTAAGCTGAGTTGTGTAATTGACTAAGACTAAGAAATGTAGGACTTCCCTGGTGGTCCAGGTGGTAAAGCGTCTGCCCACAATGTGGGAGACCTGGGTTCGATCTCTGGGTTGGGAAGATCTCCTGGAGAAGGAAATGGCAACCCACTCCAGTACTCTTGCCTGGAAAATTCCATGGACTGAGGAGCCGGGGGGGTGGGGGGCTACAGTCCATGGGGTCGCAAGGAGTCGGACACAACTGAGCAACTTCACTTTCAAGGAATGTAGAGGGAAAAAAAGTTTGTCCTTTTCTCCTCCATGAGAATTCCAGACCCCCTATCTCTACTTTGAGAGCCCTAGCCCCCTCTCCCCTTGGGGACCCTGGACTTCTTATCAACCTGCCTAGGAATTGACTCTCTCAGTTGGGGACACTAAGTGTATCAGTGCATGCATGGGACCTTTTGAAGGAGGTCGCCATTATCTTCATTACTTCCTCCATAGTTTAGCCCCAACTATGGGAGGGAGGGAACACTGTTCCACCCATCAACAGAAAATTGGATTAAAAATTTACTGAGCATAGCCCTGCCCATCAGAACAAGACCCAGTTTCCTCCTCAGTCAGTCTCTCCCATCAGGAAGTCTTCATAAGTCTCTTATCCTTCTCCATCAGAGGGCAGACAGACTGAAAACCACAGTCACAGAAAACTACGAGTAGGGTCACCCTAGATGGATGGGTCATGGTGGTCCACTGGAGAAGGGAATGGCAAACCACTTCAGTATTCTTGCCTTGAGAACCCCATGAACACTATGAAAAGGCAAAAAGATAGGACTCTGAAAGATGAACGCCCCAGGTTAGTAGATGCCCAATATGCTACTGGAGATTAGTGGGGAAATAACTCCAGAAAGAATGAAGAGGTGAGCCAAAGCAAAAACAATACCCAGTTGTGGATGTGACTGGTGATGGAAGTAAAGTCCGATGCTGTAAAGAACAATATTGCATAGGAACCTGGAATGTTAGGTCCATCAGTTCAGTTCAGTTCAGCCCC